ATAAAACCCCTCGTGGCTTGGATAGAATCCAGGACTCAGGGCATAAAACCCCTAGTGGCCTCTGGAAAGTGTCTAGACTTGGTGGCTTCTTGCTTCTAGCCCTCCCAGGCTCATAGATTGATTGTATCTTAAACTAGAAGAACATGTTTCCCATTATCTCAAGTAGCAGAACATGTTCTGTATGCTTCAAAGAAAATGCTAAACCATCACAGCTGTAGATCATGCCCTTGACGCATCGCTACCTTTCAATCCCCACATCCTCACCACCTGTTTCTTTGTTTGATCACCAACAAATAGCATGGGCTCCCAGAGCTTGGGACCTTTGCACCCTCCATACTAGCATTGGCCCCCTGGTCCCACCTTCACTCTTAACTTGTCTTTTCTCAATCCTTTGACTCCGCCAGACTTCGTAGCCCCCATGGCCTGGTGTTGGGTCTTATCATCCCAACACTATCTAAAGAAACCTGCAGAGTCAATGCCTATCAAAATACCATTCTGTATTCTCTACAGAAATAGAAACAAAAACTCTAAAATTTTTGTGAAACCACACAAGAATCAGAACAGCCAAAGCAACTCTGAGCAAAAAAGAACAAAACTGGAGGACTCATATTACCTGACCTCAAAATATACTACAAAGCTATAACCAAAACAGCATGGCACTGACTTAAAAATGGACATACAGGCCAGTGGAACAGAATACAGATGCCAGAAACAAATTCATGCATTTACAGTCAACTCATTTTCAAAAAAGATGCCAAGAGTATACACTGGGGAAAGAATAGTCTCTTCAATAAATGGTGCTAGGAAAAATAAATATCCATGTGAATGTATGAATGAAACTAGAGCCCTATCTCTCACTCTATACAAAAATCAACTCCAGATTGATTAAACATGTAAATGTAAGACCTGAAACCATGAAACATCTAGAAGAAAACATTGAGAAAACACTTCAAAACACTGGTCTAGCCTTTAAAAACGTTCTTGCGTAAGACCTCAAATGCACAAGTAATCAAAGCAAAAACTACAAATGGGATTATATCAAGCTAAAAAGCTTCTATACAGCAAAGGGAAAAATTAACAAAGTGAAGAGACAATCTATGCAATCGGAGAAAGTATTTTCAAACTATTCATCCAATAAGAAATTAATAGAATATATAAGGAACTCAAACAACTCAATGGACAAAAAATCAAATAATCAGATTACAAAATGGACAAAAGATCTGGACAGACATTTCTTCAAAGAAGACATCCAAACGGCCAACAGGTAAATGAAAAAATTATCAACATCACTAGTCATTAGAAAAATGCAAATCAAAACCACAATGAGATATCATCTCCCCCAGTTAAAATGGCTATTATCAAAAAGATAATAACAAATGCTGGCAAGGGCATGGAGAAATGGGAACACTCTATATATTCCTTGTAGGAATGTAAATTAGCACAGCCACTATGGAAAACAGTATGAAGGTTCCTCAAAAAACTAAAACCAGAACTACCGTGTGATCCAGCAATCTCACTGCTGAATAGATATCCAACATCTGTATTATCTTGAGGTTCACATCTATGTCTTCCAATTAGAACTGGTTACATTCTACTGGTTCTCCGTAAGCTGAGAAATTGTGAATAGCATCCTGAATGTTGTGCATGTTGTGTTTTGTGTAGACTGTGGGTTGCCATAATCCTTGGGAGAATGTTGATGTTTTGGATTCTGCAGAAAATCAAGCTGGTTAGGTTGAGACTGCAAGTTCCATCTCTCCTACGTGTGGTAGTTCCAAGCTGTGCTCAGTTCATATAGCTCTGTTACAGTGTTTTGGGACTTTCCACACATGTCTAGCTCAAGGTGAGCATAAGACTTTGGTGGTTTCATGCTCAGAATTAGCAGATCCCTTCTCCAGCTCACTCTGCTCTAGAATCCTTTCCAGCTCCACTGGGCTCTTTTCTGGTTCCTCTACCTAGAAAGACGGGGTTTCCAGGAAAGTTCTAACCACTGGCCCCACTGTGTTGCTTTGTGTGGGCGCACCCTGGAGGCAAATCCATGGAAGACAGAAAATTGACCTCTGCATATTCACTGCTCCAAGTTTTTCTCCAGTCCACTCTCTGCCTCCTTTCATTTACTTCCCAGGGTCTTTGGGTAATCATACTTTGTATGTGTCCAGAGTTTTAATCTGTGATCTGGGAAGGATATCCTGCAGTGGGTCTGCCACCACAGTGGAGCTGGAATTTCTAAGTCCTTTTCCAGAGTCCCTGTATCTCTCCCAAAATCCATCATCTCTTCACCCATTACGTACATTTTTTGCCCATAGATTTAAAAAGTTAACATACTTATTTTAAAGTCTTTGTAGGCTAGCTCCAAAATCTGGGTCTATTCTGGTTTGTTTCTATGTACTGAGTTCTCTAAACTGTGGGTCAACTGTTACCATTTACTCATACGGCTAGTAATTTTTCATCACACACTGAATATCTGGGATCTGTTCTAGGAAAAGCCACAGAAATTGAATCTCAGTTCTTTCAAGAGTCAAATCTGTTCCAGTTCCTGCCAGAGTTTTAATTGTTCTTCAGTGCCTTCAAACAGTTGTTTTTTAATGTCTCAGTTTCTAACTGTTCAGTAATTTAGTATGATGCAAGCTATGCCACTACCATTAGAAACAATATCATCTTTCAGGACTTAAGAAAGCTTCCTTCCCATTTTCCATCTCCCCTTGCAATCTGGCAAACAGTGTTTGAACTTTTCTGAAGAAACTACCCTGAAATATTGCTCATTGCCCTCTCACTCCCTCATCCACACAAGCGAAAACAAAGAGAGAAGACAGCACAGCCTGGCCAAGGGCCTGTGGCAGTGCTGTTCCCAAGCTGTAGACAGTTCTTTCTCCTCCACTGTGCCATCTCACTACAGCACACGACCATCAAACACTGATCATGTACTGATGCAGACGTACTACATGCCTTGCCTTGTGTCCTCAGAGCATCTTAACACGGAAATCCGTAACACAACCTCCATAACATCCAGAACATCTTAACATGGAAATCCATTAACATGAGGCAGACAGCCCCAAATGCTGGGAGAGAGAACATAAAAAACTGCTGTGGTGATTCAAAGAAACCAACTCCTGCTGGTAAGACTAACAGGAATTTCACAGAGGAGGAAGGAATGCAGAAAGTGGACCCTCACTGCTCATGCAGGCAGAGACATTTATGTGTCTGTCTCCTTTTGCTTCAGCTGTGTCATTGGAGTACAGGTGGTAGTGGCTGTTAGTATACCAAGCCTTCTACATAAAGTGTGTCCTGCAGATGAGCTGCACTGGTAACCTCAGTCCGTGTCAGCAAGGTTCACTGATGAAAACAAGCATCTCAGCAAGCTCACTAAGTGTTCTATGTGCATGTGAAAGCGTGAAGGGCACCAACACGAAGCACTGTGTCTTTTACAAGAACGACTGTAAGACCTCCCTTCTCTCTGTCCAGGCATTCATACATGCAGTAGAGGGAAATGGGCACAGGGAGAACCACAGGTAACATGGACTGAGCTTCTGCCACTGTGCACCTCATGTGTGTTCTGCCACCTTACACCCATCCGCCCTTGAGTTAGTCATTTCCATTCTGAAGATAAGGAAGTTGAAGGTCAAAGAGGTTAAATAAGTGGCCTAAGATAACAAGAAAAGTGGCAGAACCTGAATTTGAAGCCATATCTGGCTGATGCCAAACCTGTGCCATGCTTTCCATTGCACTGTACTGCCTATCCCTGGTCTGGGACTCAGGAGAGGCAGGTACTGGTGTGGTTCTGCCACTAACTAGTTCACTGATCTTGGTTAATTCTTTTATCTTTCTAGAACACAGATCTTCATGTATCAGTTGATGAAGGTGGAACTGCTGAAAGTTCACAAATGAAGGAATAGCGTTGCTTCAGGAAAATGGCTGATGGAACCAGCTTTCAGATTGAGTGTTGGAGCCCCTGCTGTGTTACAGAAAAATAATTAGAAAACCAGGAGTGCAGCAAAGTGTGAGACAAAGAGTTCAGGACAGATGTGAGGGCACCTGGGTTCTAGTCCCTCCTCTACCATTTGATAGCTGTGAGCCTCAGCTGCTTCACCTATAAAATGGACATAAATGATCTTTCTAGCTATCTCTCATATGTTTGACTGGTTCCAGTGAGATTATGTACGAAAATATTCTCGGAGATGTCATGAAGTAATCTATTAACACAGGCATTTATCTGTCTGCCTTCATTTTCACAGCATGATTTAGGTATTTCTAAACTAACAAATCAAGGAATATGACTGTGATCTGTGTGCCATGGTGGCAACTGAGTACCAGCTCTGGTCAAGCCCATCCCCTCTGCACATTTGCCGGCCCTTACACTGGGAATTACAGGTGATAAAACTGGTGCAGGCTCTGCCCCTGTGAGACATCCAGTGGTGTCAGAGAAGCAGAGGTCATGGTTCCAGAGCAAGGAGTCCCTTGTGAAACCATCTGTGGTGATGGACATGCTGCCTATCTTTGCTAGTCACTTTGCTGGCCACTATAACTGAGAAACTGAACTCGAAATTTAATTTAATTTTAATTAGTTTAAATTTAAATAGCCACGACTGCAGCTACTGGGGAGCAGCACAGCTTAGAATTCAACTGAGCTGTGGATCTGTTCATCAATCTTAAGGTTTCATAGCTGTCCTCTTAAGGCCAACACATAAACTGACTTTGTTATTTGCAGTTCTGAAACTCTAGCCACTAATCCTTTTTTCCCCAAAATCAAACAAAATTTTCATGGCATGATTTTCTATAATGGTAGGTTTCTTAGGAATCCAATTATCACTTTGTAGCAACATAAATAAAACCAATAAAATGTGAAGGCTACATAAACAAAAAATTAAATTTTGTTATGTATGTTTGCTAACCTGAAAGATACAATATTTTATGTCCTTCTCTTTGAAATTTAAAAAAAATCAGGGACTGAAAAGAACAAGACCTTGTGGGGGTCACTCCCCGCACTGGCTGTAGTGGTCCCCTACCTTACATGTCCTGCTTTCTGGCTGGCGTGCTGGTGCGAGCAGAGACACCCCCGAGGTGCAAGGATGGGCCAGATGGGCGGCACATGGTGAGACACAGGGGGTTCAGACGCACGTTCTCGTTCTTGGGGGAGGTGCTGATGGGAGCGGCTGGGCTCAGCTGCAGAAGAGCAGGGGCCGTGACTGGCTGAGGAAATGTTTCCCAGGGAGCCTGTGAATGAAACAGGAAGGAAAGGCATCCTTGTCCTAAAGTGGGCTGCTAGAGGCAGAAACACATGCAGGCAGAGGCGATAATCCAGCCCCAGCACCCTTCCTCCCACACGCCCGCCCCTGTGTCCTCCCAGAGGAGGGCTGGGGCCTCCTGGCTATCCTGGCTGAGGAGCAGACGCTCTGCCTCTTTCCCACCCTACAGCAGCCTGGAAGCCTCATAGTGCCCTGGGCCATGACTGTGCCACTCCCAGATGGTGTGACTCCCCACAGTCCAGGAGTGTGGTCCAGGCTCCCAGGCAAGACAGCCCTTGCAGTGGTGAGTGCCACCACCTCCCTCCTCCACGGTGGCTCCTCTATCATGGCCTCCCTCAAAGCTAAGGCTGTCTGGGTCAAGTGAGGCTTGCCAACTGAAGCCGCATTCTTGGAAACCCCGCTTTCCTGCCTGTCCTTCCACAGCATCTCAGACTCCTGATGTGTTGGCAAGGAAGACAGGTATCATGGACAGGTGGTACTTTGCTGCACCCCAAGCCCAGCACACTGTTCATCCGGCTTGCTCCCTAGGACCTGTCCACACTCCTCAACAGAACCTACAAGGCCTTTCGCAGTCTGACCTGTTTCCTGCTTTCCTACACCCACAACCAAGGTATATGGTAGCATTGGTCATCCTGCACACACCAGCCTCTTTCAGGCTTCTTTGCTTTGGCTTATGCTGTTCCTTCTGCCTGGATTTCACTTCTACTCAAACTCACATGCAGACTTTAAGCCCTGCTCAAATATCATATTCTCTCTGAAACTTCCTGGACCAGCTTTCTTCTGGGTGTCACAGCACTTGGCCCATGTTCCCATTATATGCATGTTCCCATCCCATCATAGGCACTTCCTTGCCCAGTCCATGGGTTTTTGAGAACCGCAACTGATGTTGTTACCTCCATGGCCCAAGCATTCACCTAATAGAGGCCGGTTACATAGATAGTTTTTAGTTTGTGTTTGCAGAATAAATAAAAACATACTTTCAGCAATAAAAAATCCCAACAGCAAAACTTGTTCAAAAGAAATGAAGGTCTACAGGTGTAATTTTAAATGATGTGATCGCTAGTGGGGTTATGTTTGGGTGGTGTTGATGGTGGCCTTCTAAGCGTTCTTCAAGTCATATCAGAGGGGACAGAGTTCTCTTTCTGCCTCCCTGATATCTGGCCTATTTCTGGCTGTGCCACCTCATGGCCTGTAAGCAGGAACCCCAGCTGGCTAATGCCCCTGAATGTCTGCTGCTCTCCAGCTGTTTCTGATGCTGGGCAAGACAAGTTCTGCCAGTGAGCAACAGAAACATCTGACAGGGCTCTGGGAAAGATGGCTCTATTGATAGCTATGTGCACTCCAAGATGAGCTCCCATGCAGGTCTCCTGGTGAGTGGGATGTCTGCTAACAGAATCAATGGCCTTGCAGCTCCAAAAGACCTGCAAGATGAATGCTCTACCAGTGGAGGAGAAAGAGTCTATGCTAGGGGGCCAAGCAGCCACAGCACCAAGGATGAACGCAGCTGCTGCCCAGGGAGGGTGCAACAGGAAGCTCTGCCGAGCCTCTGCTCCTGCCATCTTGTTGGATCTGCTTCCTCTGCCTTCAATGGAGCTATTCTTCAGGATTCCGCTCTAGACCCTCCTCAGCCTCACCCTGACTCTGGATACTGCAGGATGATCCTGTCCTCCCACAGCCCCTGGTACCGCCTAAGTGATGGCAACGCTAAAATCTGAACCTGCAGCTCAGGCCTTTCTGGGGCTCCCTGCTGCAAGGCAGACACCCCAAAAGCAGGTGTCCCCAATGCTCCAAGTGAGCCCCTTGCATGCCTGTGTTCCCTCTAGGTGAGGCACATCAGCATGACTGTCCACTCCACTCTCCAAGCCAGAGCCCAGGCATCACTATGACTCTTCACTGTTTCTCACCAACCATGTCCTGTCTTTACGGCATTGCTCATGGAAAGCTCTTCCACAGTGCCCTGCAGCCTTAAGATGACTCACAAAGCATTCTCTCTCTTTCTAAAACCATATTTCTGTCTATTTCTTCAACCAGTTTCTTGCCAGTAATTGCTCGTGTTTCAAATGGAATTCTTGTAAAACACCAACCTTTCTCTCATCGCCCCATACATTCAGCTCGAAACTCAGTTGAGGGCAGAGATTTCATCTCTTTTGAAATGGTTTTGTTCTCAGAATCAAGCCCACTGTGTGATACAACCAGTATGCGTTGATCAAACAAAGGATGTAGCATAGTAAGGAACTACTCCCCTGGTGACAGCACTGCTCCTCATTGCCCTCCCAATAAAGTCCAGGCACCTCAGTCTGGCAGGAAAGGCCACTTTTCCACAACCCACTCACCCTGTCCTGTCACCCCAAGCATCCTTCATGCCCCCAGTTGTATGTGTGGGCTGTGAGGATGAAAGAGTGACCCACCCTCACCTCCACAGCCCCTGTCTAGCACTCAGGCAGTAGAGTCCTATCCATGACCCAGAGTCCATTTATATGCAGACCTGGGGGTCTATCAGCACCAAGTCATGGCTATAAAACCGATCAGCTCTCTCAAAAGACCTATAGCTCCAGAAACATCCTTTCAAAGCAGTTCTGACAATAAACGTTGCCTGAAGAGTTCTTAAAATCAGACTGCTGTGTTTTGTCCCAGAGTTTCTGATTCAGTAAGTCTGGACTGGGGTGCAGACTGACTTACAAGAATGAATTACTTACTGACATTCTTACAAGAATGTACAGGTCTAACAAGTTCCCAGGTTATCCTGATGCTGATGAGCTAAGAATGGTTTTTACATTTTCAAAGGATTGTAACATTTTAAAAAAACAGGAATATAAAATAGAGACTATATGTGACCTTCAAAATCTAAAATATGTACAGGAAGTATCTGCTGAGCCCTAGACCCTTGCTACTCAAAATGAAGCTTTTCTTTTCAATTTTAACCTCCCAAAAAAGTGGGAAAGAGTGGAGCTTCCAAAAGACACCAATGCCTGGGTCCAACACTCAAAGATTTCTAGGTAACTCACTTGGCACAGGTCCTTGGCATCAACATTTTAAAAATGTCCCTCAATTCTGATATGCAACCAGGTTCAAGAATGACCAATTTAGACCATATACCTGCCTCAGAAAAAAAAAAAGAAAAAAGCCTGCTCCTTAACCTTCCTGGTGAGTAGAGGATGAGCCCGAACACATGTGAAGGAGCATTTCTGCAACTTAAAACTCATTTTTAAAAGCTGAACTACTCTTTTGTGAAGGTTATTAAAACCCAAGCATAACTCTGTATTTGCTCCTTTCACCTGTCCCCTCCTAAGTGATTATAAATCAGTAAGATTCACAAAGCACCCCTAAACAAACCCACCAAGGGTCAAGTGCAACTGTGCCAGGCGGTCTGAGGTAGGTGGGCCAGAACAGCCAGAGATGGACCAGTAGAGGGCGAAGGAGAGGTCTTCCCTAGGGGTGGCTGAGAGGCAACAGGGCAAAGGTGCTGAGAGGCGACAGGGCAAAGGTGCTGAGAGCTCAGGGAAGGGGGAGAGGTGGAGGACTGAGAATGGTACTGATATCGAGGTATCAGAAGAAACACCCAAAACGCCTTTAGCTTCATCACGAGCCCAACACTTCTTGGCAGTGTTGGCAGCTAGAGCTGCCCTCCTTGCTGGAGATCAGAGGGCCTCATCTAGCCCCTCCTGAGACAGGGCTGTGTGTGCTCCCATACCTGTGCTTTCCTCAACCTGCCTGAAGCCGCAGATCTGACAGATGCTCTGGACCCACTCGTTCATGTCCTCCCTGGTCTCAGCCACCAGGTAAAAGGTACGCTCACTGGTCTTGATGTCAAACATGTAGCCCTTCTGAATCTCCTTCTTGTTGAAGTTCAGAGTCACACCAACATCCAGCTGCTCACAGAGGTTCAGGTTGATGGTGCGCAGGGGATTCTTGGAGCCATCATTCTTGTAGTATTCCAGAACATCTGGGTCACTGCTAGTCTGGCCCCTCCGCAGGATAAACCAGCGTTTCCTCCAGGCCTAAATCCCACCAGGAAGGAGTAAGAAGAGGGGAAACATTCATTTGTTATTACCAAGCTTTTAACAGATCTAAGACATCACTAAGTTGAGGACGGGACTTGGACCTGCACTCAGCCTATGTCTCCCTTTCGGATTTCCCCAGAGTTTCAAAGGTGGAGAGTGACTTTGAATGCATTTTACCGCAGCATCTCACTATGTCAACAGAGTCTCATCACTACAAAATAACGTGCATTTCCACACTTTAGAGCAGGAGGTTGGGTGAGAACACTTTATAGCAACAATGTCATTAGGCTAGAACACTGACCTCAGTGCATAGCACTTTTAGACAGAGCAGAACTCTCAAAGCCACAACATCTTAGTTTATAGATGGGGACCTCCACTAAGCATGGTGAGTTGAAGCAACAGTGTCAGAAGCAGAAGTATTAGCAGTAAACAAGTAGCAGAAAAACATGTTTCCCAACTTTTAGTAAAATGTGCTTTTTACCATATCATGATGCTTTAGAAGAGTCACAGAAAAACCCTTCTAAAACTTCTCCCAAGCACAGGACTTCAGGATGCTTCTTTTTTAAGGGACACAGTCTTACTCTGTCACTCAGGCTGGAGTGCAGTGGTGGCACAGTCACAGCTCACCGCACCCTCTAATTCCCGAGCTTAGGTAATCCTCCCACTTCAGCCTCCTAAGTAGCTGGGACTAGAGCACACGCCACCATACCTAGCTAATTCTTTAATATATTTTTCTGCAGAGATGGGGTCTCGCTATGTTGCCTACGCTCATCCTGAACTCCTGGCCTCATGTGATCCTCCTGCTGCTGCCTCCCAAAGCACTGAGAGGCTTTTTTTCCATCTTGTTCACTGCTGCATCCCTAGTACTTATAATAGTGTCTTGTACATGTTAAGTGCTCAGTATGTATTAGTGATCAGATAAACTCCTTACACTACTCCACCCCACAGAATTGAATGCATGATTACATTTTCTCTCAGGCTCTCTTCTTCCATCTCTTCAACAAGACTGAGTGATCCATGAGCAGACACCACATACAGGGATAAAAGACTACCCATGGTAGAGAACTGTGGATGAGTCTATGCTTCTCCACTGGCTCCAGGTGTGACTTTCCAGTAAGCCATTTACCTCTTTGGAGCTTGTCTCAGCTACTGGAATCACCACCACCACCCTGAGTACCTCATAGTTTTATTATGCAAATAAACCCAAACCCCTTGGTATACAACCCTGAAGGACTACAGACACCAAGCATCGGGTTATTATCACAACTCTTTAGAACCCAGAAGACCTACACTCTAGGACTCCTACCACCTTTTCCCACTCACCTTTTATCCCTGTTATTCTCCCCCTTATCAAACTTCCTTTCCATGGCTCTAATATAATCACACCCTTGCTTCTGTCTCCATTCCTCTTATTTATCTGGCAAAACCACAGCCCCTGGCTAAGCCTAATGCTTTGCCTACTCCACCTGTTCCCATTCAGCTGTGAACAGCTGGAGAGAATTACATAACCATGCTGCCTGGTCTCACTTTAACTTCAAGGGGCCCTCATGTGGCCCAACGTCCTACCATATTTACCTAGTTCATGGCTTTCTCCTGCTGTTTTGCAACAACCTCTCAACTTCTCTCCCTTTAAACCTCCAACACCCCTATTTCTTTGTTTCTTATTCCATGAGAAAATATAAGCAATGCAAAGGGAATCCGCCTCCACACCCACCAGCCTGCCTGTGCCTATAGCCCTGGACCTTGTCACTGGGGAGCACAGAGTCTTCATCCATACTAAGGCCAACCTTCTTGCATTTGTGAACACCCTCTCGCTCACAAATGGACATCACCCCAACAGTTCTCCACCTCTACTAGGATCATTCCCATCAAGACACAAACTTCTCCCATCTTAGAAAAAAATTAAAAGTTTGGCTTTAGCCCACATTCTCTTCCAACTATGGCCCAGTTTTTCTACCCTCTTTACCTTAAAACTCTGAAGAGTTTCCTCACTGCTAATCTTCATTTCCTCTTCTCCTGTTTTGTGAAATCACTCTAATCAGGCTGTTCCCTTTCTGTACCACTAAAATGACTCAGGGAAGGTCCCAAAGACTTCATTGCTGCTATCAACTCCTGGGCCTCACTTAATCTCCCAGCCCAATAAGCCTTGGATTGAAAAAGATTGAAGATTGAGGCACATTCAGACAGGATAGAGTTGAGGAACATAAAAATAAGTGCCACTTATTTACAGTCACCTGAAGTCTTGCCCAGGCTGCTGCCTTCATGATTCTGTGTGTGCGTGGTGCAGGTGCATGTATATTATGAGCATAGCAAGTGTACTGTTACTACTCTAGCTGGCGTTTACTCTCATATATTGTGAGGGTTTTTATGCTACCGCATTATTTCAATTTTGTGTAAATTATGCAGCTGTATTTCCATATATTAAGTTTGTATGTTCACCTTAAATTCTGTGGTCTTGCTATATTCACCTAGTTCTGGGAAGGTTTTTTGAAGTAGATTTCTTAGAAGTTCCTGTATATCCAATCATGCCTTTTGAGAATAAAGACAATTTTACTTCATCTTTTACAATCTCTATGACTTTCATTTCTTTTTAATGCTTGTTACACTGACTAGACCCTTTGGTACAACACTGCATAAAAGTCATATGCACAGACATCCTTGCTTTGTTCATGATCTTAGGGCAAAACGTTCAGTATTTTATGATTAAGAATGATGTTAGCTATAGGTTCTTCATAGATACAACTAATTTTCTATGGTTTGTTGAAATTTGGTCAAATACTTTTTTGCGTCTATTCAGATGATCAGGTGATTTTTCTTCTTTATTCTCTTACTGTGATGAACTGCACTGACCTGTTTTTAAATGTTAAGCCAACTTTGCATTCATTCTATAAACGCCTTGGTCATAAAGTGGCAGAGCAAGACTTCAAGCCCAGCAGCCTGGTTTCATGGGCTCTGCTTGTTCTCTCACCAATATTGCTTTACGTGTAGAATTTGGGCTGAGGCTAGGGGAGAGGGAACAGTGATGACGATAGCTCTGCAAAGATAGTTGGGTGGATAATGGAATACAGTTTCCCAAATCTGTAAGCAGATCCTTGAAAGCTGTGGATTGCTCAGCTCCAGTCTTCATCCTCCCAATACTTTCTTCCAGTGCCTGTAATTTACTGGAAATCCTTCTGCATCCATGTTGTGTATCAATATCATTATACTCCCCAGAAGCACACTGCTGAAGTATTTCTTTTAGCATTTCTCATATTGTGGGTTGTCTGGTAACATACGGTCTTAGTTTGTTGTTGTTGTTTTCTATCTGATGCTCTGACAGTGTGTTGGTTTTGCCTTCATATTTTAAAGCAGAATTTTCCACTGGAGAATCTAGGATGATGGCACCACAGACTGTGTCATGGCCTGTGTTCTCCATGTCTTCATTTCCTCACCTGAGAAATGAGGACAACACTGTGCCTATGCTATCAGGCTATTCTAAGGATATGAAGTGACTCAGCTAAAAGCTTTGGTACTGTGCCTCACAGCTAGCAAATATTCAATGAACACTTAAAGAAAAACAAATGTGTGCCTACAGTGATCAGATTCTGTTAGGCAGACTACATATAGGATAAAAGCCACAGGTCATGGTTTCCAGGAGCCTGAAATATTTCTTTTAGCATTTCTTATATTGCATGCTTTCTGATAACACCCTTCTTAGCTTTTTAAAAAATGTGACAATGTTTTTATAGTATCTTCACTTAAAAAGAAAATTGCACTGGGTGTAGAATCTCAGATGATGGTTTTCTTCCTCCAGGGCTGCTGACACGTCAGTGCACTGTCTTCTGGCCTCCACTGTTTCTGATAAAAGCTGACTGTCAATCTGGTACAGTGTGGGTTACCCCTCTGGCTACTTTTTTGTTTGTTTTTTGTTTTGAGACAGAGTCTTGCTCGGTTGCCCAGGCTGTAGTGCAGTGGTGCAATCACTGCAACCTCCACCTCCCGGGCTCAAGCGATTCTCCTGCCTCATTTTCCTTACCTTTGTCTTCAGCGATTTGATCATGATGAGCTTATGTACATTCTCCTTTGTGTTTATCCTGCTTGGAATTAGCTGAACTTCTAGGAGCTGTGGACTACTGTTTATGATCAAATTTGGCAAAACTTCAGCTAAATTTTCTTCAAATATTTTTTCTCTCCTCTCCCTCAACCCCTTTCTGGAACTTCAGTTAAACATATGTTCAATTTCATGATACCATCTCACAAAGTGGCTATTCATTTTTCAATTCATTTTTTTCAAGCAGGATAAATAGCATGAAGACAGACAATAGAAATAAACCCAAGTATGTCAGTAATTACATATCCAAATATGACAATAATCACAGCAGCCTGGGGGAGACTGCTAGATGACCTGGGCAAGGAAGGTCTCTTCGAGGTAGTGACATTTTATAACAGCAATCACTTCTACAGAGCCTTACTACACACTGAGCACCATTCCAAATGCTAAATATGTGCGTGTATGTACACATATATACGAATTTATTTATCCTCACAACCTAGTCAAATAGATATTACTACTGCAATGAACAGTTTATGAATTGGGATGCAGAGAAGTAACTTGCCCAAGGGTCACAGAGCCAGTAAGTGGTAGAGCCAAAATTTGAAACCAGAGCACATGCTCTCAATCACCTTACAACACTGCTTGAAAATACCCGCTGAACTAGAAGAATGAGAAGGAGCCAGGCATGTGAAAGTGGTGGAGGAAGCTGCTGCATCCCAGGAAGAGGGAACTGCAAGTGCAAAGGCCCTAAGTGAGGAAGAACTTGGCTCTTTCCAAAGCGAGAAAGGGGCCACTGTGGCTAAATGACAGTGAGAGATGGGAGAATGTGGCACGGGAAATTTGGAAGGTAGCACATGCCACACTAAGCAGTTTATTTCATGGCTAACTCTACCTCAGGGACTAAGCTCCATGCCTTGTATCAACCTTACATTATACAATTTCTTAATACAACAGTCACCTGTGA